ATATATATATATATATATATATATATATATATATATATATATATATATGTTGGCATATATACATTTATATATAAGCCTATAATATATCTGTAGTTCGTATGTTGTGTTTACACTTGTTTTGATTGTTTGTTCTGTGGAGTGAGGGCAAAACCTCTCATAATATAAATGTAATGATGACTCAAATTCAATTCAAGTTGGTGATAATTGATACGTCATCATTACTAACGTGCATTTGCTTTTGTCATTTTAATATATGGTTGATTGGAATATTATTGTGGTTCGAATCACACCAAGGATAGCCCATTATTCCAAAGACCTGTTTCCAGCGTGAGTCTTCGTGGTGAATTGGGCAGTACACCTCACACGGGCCCAATGACTTAAATGTCTCAACCGAAAGACGGTGTAAGCCCTTGTATATCAGCCCTCCAACTGAAACACAAGGAAAGCAACGAATGGAATTGAACCGGGGAGCAAAGGATCTCTACGTAAAGCGCACACACAGTAAATACTACCAGTTTAGCTGACTGAGCTAAGCTGCTCCGATGTGCTACGCCGACGACCTGTTTAGTCAACAACACAAATCGTTGCCTTGACTGATTACATTTCTTTAGTCGAAAACTGGAAATATTGGAAAAAACCTATTGACTGGCCAGTTATATGAAACATAACAGAAAAGTGTATAGGCTGATGAAACGATAAGGAAAGTAGAAGAACCTGAATCGCATTACGCGAAAGTACACATATCGTTAAAAATATGAGCACCTTCACTGCACACCCACACACACACACTTACGAATGACAATTAGATACATACAGTATACAAAAAAATTCATTGAATCTATCCATGTAGATTGATATTAAAGTAGTAAAAAAATGCAAATATCATGAATTTGCAGGAGATGACTTGCTTTCGGGAGTGTAGGAGGCCATCCCAATTTCCGGAAGACTCCCGTAAGACTTGTGACCCATGCAAATTGTATCGCCCTGTGACAAAGAGTTTTTCCGCTGATCTCGGAAAAACATTTTTTTTTTTTTACAGAAAAGATAAAAACCAAAATAACACATGTCTTTCAGTCAAGTAGCCCAAGTACGTTTGCCTGTTCATCGGGTGAGCATGGGTCCAATTCACTAAGGTGTATCAACTGGACTTGTGGTTCCAGAATTTGAGCCACATGGTCATACTTTCTTTGGCTGCTGACTTGAGGGGTGATTGGAGTATCTTTTACCACCCCTGATC